GCTCAGACCCAAGTATACAGGCAAATTGACAAAGCGTAATAAATGGAACACCTTCATGTTCGTTGTTGGTGTTTTCTTTAGTCTAAAAGGAGACAAAAATCTCAAAATGTACTAGTAGTCTCCCTAATAATGTTGGGGCTGAAAACCACATTAGTCCATGCATTAGATTATACATATTGTTTTTTCAGATAGATAGATAGATAGATAGATAGAAGATATAATGTCTGTATATAAAGTTGAACATAGTCTAGTTGAACATATCCCCTGCGGATCCTGCAGTTGGAAAGCCTCCATTGATTGAGATATCCCATCTGCGAGAGTTCGATCTTCATCCAGACTATCTTCTTCAACAGCGCAGATAACTCACAGTGAGTACCATCTGAGGCTGTTGTCTCTTGAATACAGATGAAGCCGCAAATGATCGACTTGAGCAAAACAGCCATAAAGCCCAATCTCATATCTGCACGGATCTGCAGTGTGGACTTTGTTGCTGCCAGAGAGAAGCCTCGGCTATTCAAAATGAGATATGGCTTTCAATCCGTCTTCAAGTCGTTTTTTGTTGACTTTTAATGGAATTCCTGAATGCCAGTTCACAGTGAAGAGGATAGTGAGTTAACACTAATGTGCTGTTTGGGGTCCTGAGTAGCCATGCCGGCTTTAAAGGTCTCCTATCATGCAAAATGCACTTTTTTATGTCTTTTATACATGAATATATGTACCCGCTGTGTCAGGGAACTCACTAAGTGTCCGAAAAAAAAACCCTCTCTCTTTTCCTCCATACCCAAATCTCTAAAAACGGGGGTACAACAGAGCGGATCCAGATTTGCGTCCGATATGACGTAATATCGGAAATGTGGACCCACGGCACTATCAGAAACGTCGCTATCAGAAACAATGCGCGACGGGTTTTGGACGTAATATGGTCGGTGTTTACATTAGCAAGCATCGCTAATACTCAGAGCTAACCTGTAGGCTACTGGAGAGAGTATGTTTAAAAAAGCAGGGAATAAAAAAAGGAACTCACTTTGTGGTAAACCCGCAAAAGAAAAAGCATTTGAGCTCCATACGGTTTCAGAAATACTCCTTGATATGGTTTTGAACACGATATGGCATTTAATCACGGCAACATTTAGCTGTATCTCGGTAGAATTCTGAGCAGGCTCAAGCTCCCCCTCCTCTTTCTTTTTTTTTTTTTTCAAGCTAAGGACCCCGAACCTGCAGTTCTCTAACAGGGCTGAAATAGAGCGATATGAGCGATGTCTAAAAATGCATGATTTGTTTGGTATTTTGAGAAAAACACAGACATGTTTTTTATATATTTTTATAATAATATATGCCTAAAAATAGCATGATAGGAGATCTTTAAAGGGGCCCTATTATTCTAAATGTCAGGTTCATAGTTCTATTTAGTGTCTCTACTGTGACATGTTTTCATGCTTTCAGCTCTTTATTTTTCTCATACTGCCTGTGCTGCAGCACCTCTTTTCACCCTCTGTCTGAAACCAGAGCCCAGTCTTCTCTGATTGGTTAGCTGGCTGGCTCTGTTGTGAGAGATGTCCCGCCCATTAGCCTATCACGTGCAATGTGTTTTAGAGCGCTGGCCAATAGTAGCACAAGAGTTACAAAGTGATGTCATTGTGTTACCAAAGTAAACAAAGGAGTCCAATGGAGGCATTTCAACTTTATCATTTGTGACTTAAAGAGATGTATGTTGACTGCTTGATCTAAGGAAATGTTCGTTTAAAGAAAATTATCTATACTTTTGTTTCAGATGGTCTCGGTGACCCCAAAGTAAAATACTGGTTAAATACAAAGGATATGCTTTAGTTTTTAAGGCAGAAATCTCCCTTCCTAATCTTAAACAACTATTTCAGTCTATTGATATTATTGTTAGACCTCTCTGGTGTCAATACTGACAACTCAAATAAGCAATGTCACTATTTAGATTTACCGCAAAAGTATTTGTCTGTGAATGACTATGGAAAGGATTTTATTTTATTTTTTTAAGTATTCACATTTAGAAAAACATTAACATGTACAAACAGGCATCCTTTATTATACATTTACATACTACTGTAAATAAATAAATAAATAAGGGTTGGGGTGAATGCACCAGTGTGCAGAATATGTCTTCTGTCCAGCACTAAACATGGGAAATCATTAGCCAAAGCCAGAGGCCTCCATAGTAACAAAGACATAAGAGCAGACACAGATAACAGATAGGACAGGCAAGAGCAAGGCCAATCGCCACCTATTGATTAAAGTTGAACCATCCATAGAGAACACTGATTTATGGAGTGATCTGTTAAACTCCCTGCTGACACTCCAAATGGAGAAACAACTCTGTACATTTGACTTTACTGCTTTTGAATTGCATTGAATTAGAGCTCTGCCCGCTGCGGAACTGATACAAAGATGTGAACTACATGATCTTTCAGTGCCTACCTGCTTCAAATCCGGCCACTCCTTTGGTAAAATATGATTATGAATATCAATCTTCATCTTCTGGGAAAAGTGGGGGTCTGCTGCCAAAGATTTCCTGCAGTAACTGATTGTGAATCCAGCAAATTAGCTTTCCACCCTCAGACAGAAACCAATGACCGCCAGGTGAATGGCTGCTGCTGGGACACCCTGGTCATTTATTACCTAGTCTGTAAAACAAGCAGAAAGTAATCAGTCAGTGAAGGCTGTTTAGCATTGTAAATAGTTGACATACTGAACCATTTAGTATTCAACTTCAAATACTCTCATACCTTAACAAAATTAATAATTAAATGGGTGAAGCTCTTGAACACACTACCAGAAAATAGTAGAGAGGCAAAATCAGTGGACATTTTTTCAACTTCGGCTAAAAAACATATTGTTTTAGTTTAGTTTTTATTGGGTGAAATCCCTCTTTAATTTCTATGTATGAAACTGTCCTACCGGTGGTAGAAGATCTACAATTGAAAATAACCAATTTTTTTAAATTCTCCATTATAAGTAAAATTCCTAAATTCTAAATGTTACTGAAGTAGAATTACAGAAGTATATAATCAGTCAATATGCAAAATATTTAACTATGCTGTTACACTAACAAATGTCAGAGCATTTTAGTGTTGTATTTTGTTCATGTAGAGCACATTTAGATACTTTGTAAAATACTGGGTTATTGTTTGTAAAGTAATGTATAATATCACATAACAATATCATGTTTTTCTATATGTTAAAAATAACTATGGGTATTAAATGGAAGTTGAGTAAAAAGTGTACAACACTTGGTACTTGCGTGGCACAATTATGTCAAAATATAATGGTACTTGAGTAAATGTACTCAATTCCACAAAGCTTAATGCTTGATATGGACACAGCATGTGAAAATGTCCGTCCCCCCCAGGATAGAAACCATTTAAGGGTAAAGATGATGTTCTTACATTATCATTATGCCTTTCGACTATACTGTTTGTTATTGACTGTAGAGCAAATCGGTGTCAATCTCATTTATATGTTACGGAAATTAATTTGTATTCTGAGTTCACATCCTCACCTTCTCATAATTGCATGTTTTGGTGCCACCTGTTGGTCAGTAGTTGTTGTTCATCCTGACAGCTTGCAGGCAGGTGAGAACATAATTGATTTGCATGCTGATAATTGGATTTACCATGGGTCAATGAATTGATTCTCGGATTAGAGAGCAAAATCACTGGCACGTAAATAAACTAAACCACTTATCTCTAATTCCATTAACCCATTTGTTCCAGCAATTTAAATTTGGAATTTCCTTTTGGTGGGAGTGTTCTCTTCAAAAACGGTGAAACTGTTTTGTTGAAATTTGACTTTTTCCTCTATACCATAATTAGATTTTGGGCCCTTGGGACTACTCTTTTTTTCTATATTTCTTTCTTTTCAGGAAAAAACGACTCTATGTACTATACGTATAATATGACAAGAACATGGCTGTACCTCAGAAACCACAAGGAGCACTATAAAGTATTTTGTATCTAAGCAAATGTTTTCTAATCCTACTTAATAAGGTGTTTTTTATAAACATTATTTTAAGTTCTTGAATTCCTCACATAACACTGTATATTTTGCATATTTGGGTACAAAGCTACCTCTTGTAATATCTGCTCACCTCTTCACTTTAAATCCCAATACTGCCAGTAGATGTTTTGTATGTCTTTATTTTGTGTACATATTTGTCAATATATTAAATGTCATCTGTGGAAGCCGTAGTACTTTAAAAAGCACAACCAATCATCTGAGCCGGCCCGGCCAAAATAACTGGATGGCCTACCTGCCTGTCAGCCTTCCATCTCGTGCACAAACTCATCTCGTGCCCTCATTGGTCATGTGCGCGTTCTTGTGTCTTGGATGAGGGGCTCTGTATTTTTTCCGGTTGTGTAGGCTACTTTCAAATTCTAGCGCACTCGAGCTGGTTTCTCCATTCTTACCTACCTTTAACCTGAGTATTTAGATATTCTGCTAGTTTTGTACCTCTACTTCACTACATTTGGAAGCCAATATCTTTAACTTTTACTCCACTGTATTTAATTGACAACTTTACTTTACAGGTTTAGATAAATTAGATTAAATACATGTTATTATGAAATTGGCCATTATGTTCAAATAGTTATTTCCCTGTTGGTTAAAGTGTATTTTTATTATCTTTTCTTTTTAATGACTGATTTTAAATGTCATTTTCTTAATGTCTTTAATTTTTTGTAAAGCACTTTGAATTGCCTTGTGTTGAAAGGTGCTATATAAATAAACTTGCCTTGTATTGTGATACCAAAACTCTTGTACTTTTACTACTAAGTAAGATTTTGAATAGGAGTTTTACTTGTATTGTCACAATGTTGCTTAGGTAAAAGAGCTGTACTTCTTCCACCACTGTCATAGAGTGGCCTGTATGAAAAATAGGTGGTGAGTTCTGAGGACAGAAGGAGGAAAGGGGAGGAGAGAGATAAAAAAACTAAAAAAAACTTGCTGGCACCGCCTGCCATATCCACAGCAGATCTCAGCATTTATCGCATCGCCGCATCTAACCCTAAACTGTGTCTAACTGGCGGTTTCCAGAGAGGCTGCACTTTGCAGGGTTCACTTTCCTTAGAGAGGGAGTTGTCTCGCTGCTGATGCTGGGGAGACCAACCCTTTATCTCCCATCTCGAATCGCCATCCCACCTCTCTGCGCAGCAGCTGAGTACACCGGGCTTTATTAGGACACGCTGGATGGCTTCTGCACTTACACCGGCGTGAATCTCTTCCTCATCACCCTTTCTTTGAGTCTGCAAACAAAACGAACGGCAACAACAATGACGGACCCGGCCTCCCAGGACACCTACCCTGTCCCAGACCCGACTATTGTGGATCCCTTTACGGGTGCGATGCGGAACGGCCAGTGCGCCCAGGATGGCTTCACCAACAACCACCGCCAGCCTACCAAGAGCCCCGGCCAGCCGGAGACGCTCCCTACGGGCCAGGAGATGAAAATCACAGACAGTGTGGAGGGAGAAGGTAACTTCATCCATTAATTGGATTTTTTTTAAAAGTTATAGATGCATATAGTCTATGAAGTGTTAAAGGGTACCCTAGGGAGATGGGAGGGGTATTTTTATCCATGTGAGGTATTTTTAGCCTGCTGTCTTTTAAATAATTTACAACAGTCCTACATCAGCAGATCAGAGTGAAGCGAAAGTTGAATTCAAAGCTCAACATATTGATACATTGAATCCAATCCCAAAAGCTTTCCATTCTTTTTTTAATTTGTACTTGCCTCTGGGGAAAAGTCAGATTGTTTTTTTTAAACATGCACATTGGGGCTCAGCCAAAGCTATTCTGATACCAGTCACATGCATGCCAAACCCCTAAGTGTGCTCGATGTGTGTTTGTGTGTGTTAGTTACTTTTCCACTAATTTAATCCCATTCATCTTCTAACATGAAGAAAAATCTCTGAAAAACATTCCACAGTTGATAATAACAGGGCCTCAGTTATAAGCTATTAGTGTATGCATTCAGGTATTATGGATCTGATTTCAATGGATATTTGATTGTTAATTTAACTCAGTAGTTTTGATGCTAATATAATTAAGCAGACGTGGAGTCAATAAAACAAATACATGGTTATTGCATTTAGAATAGTGTAGAGTTATTTTATTGGATGTATTTTTTATCAAGGGACAGTATCCACCTTGTATCTACACTAGCAAGAGATACATTCAGAATGAAGGATAAAAGAAGAAAGATGCATTGAACTGTTTGGCTCGAATCTCCAAAAACGTGAACCTATATTTCCCACAAAATCGGCTTCTTTATTATAATAACTACTTTTTTTTTGTCATATTTGCCAAAACTGACACTAAATCATACTGTAAAAGCTTGAGACAGATAATCTGTGAAATAATTCATGCTCCTCTGCCTCTCCACAGTGCATGAGAAGATGTTGAGCACATGCCTTCTGTCTGATCCCCCAGCTTGGGATCATGTGAGCAAAGGGATTTAACCATGCTGCCTCACTCCCTCAGTCACACATCAGACACACACCCACATGCTTGTTAGCTGGTCTCGCTAAAAGGCTTTTGAACAACAGTCATGTTTCTATTTTTAAGTTTAAAACCCAGACACCACATTATCATTTTTCATTTTTAAAGGTTTCAAAGTAGCTCCATGTGCAGTTTAATTATCAGCCTTTCCTCAGCTAGATACATAAAAAGGTCATAGTTTGTCTAGTACAATCAATTATGATTTTGAACAAACCTTTTGGGAATATTCCATTTATGTAAGCTTTACTTGTGATCTGGCAATTTCTGTTCTGGAAACAATGGTTTTCTCCAGAGTCACTCCTTATCAAGGTGTTATCAAAGCAGGTCAGTCAGAGGCTATAAGATTTTTTTTTGCAATCAGTTAGCCTGTCAGCCAATGGGTCTAACAAGCTACACACTTTTAGCTGGCCTTTCATGCCTTTAGTGTAACACTAGTCATTCAAATCATTTACACGAGTCTTCGCTCTGACACACACACACACACACACACACACACACACACACACACACACACACATTTGCATTGTGACACTTTTTTTAGCTTCTTCTACAAGAAAGCCATGTGATTTCTTTTGAATTTCTATCATCAAAGTAATCAATTATGGCCAGATAAAATGATTTCACACAGCTAGATGATGATGGTCAAGGGGTAAATGTGATTGTGCCCTAGGGTTGTTGATAATCAAAGGTTTGTGTTTTATGTACTCCTCTTGTGACAACAAAACTTTCATGTGTGAATACTGAATGCTCAAAATGAAAGCTGTGAGGAATATCCATATAACCATACATCTTACATCTTAAACCCTGCATTAAGGGTCATTAAATATACAAAGGTATTGAAAATCTGATCCAAATATATTTAATGGCTTTCTCTGCCTCCCATTTGACACATTTTGATAGCAAAAAGTATATTTTAACAGATGCATTATCAAAACTTAAGTGGCTCCAGGCCCATGCCTTTTACTTCGAGCTACCAAAAGTGAAAGATACATTACCCTTGTAATTAACTAATGTCAGTTGCAAAAGTACATCGCTTGGAGTGAAGTGTCTGGCTGTCCGTCAAAAGCAGTTGGCAGTTTTCAATGGTGGGAAGCTAGTGAGAGATGCCATCCTAGTAGCACCAACTCCTTGTGGACACTGTGTCTGCAACGTCTCCTTCTGTCTACACTCACACTAGACAAGCAGTGGGAGTAAGAATGGATATTTGCAGGGGGAACTTGCCATTCTAGAGACATGAAACAAACAAAAAAAATAAAAAAAAATTCTAATGAATTTAAGTATGAATGATACCCTTGCTGTACCGTGATACCAATGTGAAATGGTCATTTTCTCACATAAGATACAAGATCGCTTTAATAAAAGTTGGAGGACAAACCCACACAGAATTTTCGCCCGACTCGAAAGTTCACGTTAGCTTAATGGAGTTTTATAGCATCTTCTTGCTCATATCTTTGGCTTTGCTCCCCTCAACTTTACTACATTGGTTCACTCTCATGGCTCCTACAGTGTCTTTCTTTTGCTGCTTTAAGCAATGCAGATCGAAAAACACATTGTATACTAAGCAGTGGCAGTTAACAGGGTTGTGTGCATGGGGACATGTCCATCCCAAAGAAATGCGAAGATAAAAAAGACAATCAAATAAATGTGTGGTATAGTGGTTGTCTCATGATACATTTGTCAAAAGGGCCTTTTTCTAATTTGGGCTACACAATTCTTTCCAGGGGGAACAAAGTGTAGAGATACAAAATGTACTTAAGTGCCCCAGCATCAAGCTTTTCTACAAGAAAAAGGATACTCATTGAAACCAAGGCTGATTTAAAAGAAAAAAGGGAACTCAACAGATTTTACGTAGACAATAAAGGTCAATTGTCAAGTCATGATGACTCAGGGGTATTTGTGTAACGTCCTCTGTGTGTCATGTCATAATATCTCTACCAGCTGCTTTTTTCCCACTATTATTTAATGTCTGTCTTTTGCTAAATGTATGAAAAGCCTAATACTAAAACACGGTAGCCCTCCTTTAACCTTCTATAACCCTGCAGAGGTGATGTGGCACATGAACATCTATTTACAATTAAATATTCATTTGACAAATGATGCAGTTTTGTGTTACATTGACTACAGAAAGTGGAACTTTCAGCCATGGTCAATGAGATTTTAGAATTTTGGGTTTTAAAAAGAAGGTAGCATGTAAAAGGCAAAGTCCTGCTTCCCGGAGGAAGTGTTTTTGCTTTCTCTTGAATAATTCTTCTCCCACTGCAATGACACCTAATCCGTGTTGAACCTTGTTGTGCAGCGCTTGATGACAGCAGAATAGCTTCAGGCAGTTTGTCTGACTTCAGGCAATCACTTTTCTCACAGAAATAAATTGCATGTGGAATAATAATATAATGAGTATTCGTCTTAAGCCATTATATCTGTTTAGTCTCTTAGAAGGGAATTGTGCCTTAAACAGCCATTAATGTTGGATATTAAAATCATATGGCATCATCATGGTAATTAAATATATATTTATATAAATAGAACTATATATATGTATTAATTTTTGTTGAATTCAATGGAAAAGAGTATAGAAAGTAAAGCTTGACAAGCTGTCCCTGTAATCTGTATTATACTGTGGTTCCTCGGGTATTACTCAACGTCAATCAGTGTAAATTGATGATGGTCTTGTGCTTTCCTGGAAGGTGTGGAGAATTATCTTACAGGAAAGATGCATGGAGGGTGGAACTTAAAACCCCATTCATGTTGAAGGCAGCAATGAATACACATTGACTATTGGGGACTTGTAGTGGATTCGTTGTAGCTGCTACAACAACAATGCTTTTTTATGAGCAGTATTGTCATGAAGCATTAGCGGAGCCAGACCACTGACCTCCCTTTTGATTCGGAATAATTTTAATTATTTTTACACACAACCGTAAATAGAATTTAGGACCGGATTTAATCAATCAATCCAACCGATTAAATCCCTTTTCTAAAAATGTACTTTGTACTACAAATGTACATTTATCAAATGCAAAAACATGGATACATTTAAGGATCTATGTAATAGCCACTTCAACGTTTTTGGTCACTTTTGTAATGTTTTTCTAATGTCATAACTTCCTAAGCTTAAAGACATCGTGGTATAAAATGTTGGACTGCATGAAAATGACTTGCGCGGACACAGCGCATGATGTAATTTGAGTCACAAAGACCATAGCGGAGCCTCGTGGATACTTGGACTCATTGTATGAATCACCCTTTTGCCTCATAATTTTGTCTGGCATGTTATAGATAGAATCAGAGGGATGAAACCCTCTTTAATGGTCACACATGCAGAGCACACAGCACACACTGTAACATTTGGCCTCTGCTTTTAACCCATCCTAGTACCAGGAGTCTAGTAAATGCATTGTCTTTATATTCGGACGAAAAAAATACACCATTGTTGTGGAACTGTTCCAATAAAAAAGGGTGGAAATGACCCTATGGAAAAACATGGGTTGGTTGGCTGGGTAGACACAGAACAGGACTTTCAGTCAGAAGACCGTGTTAGTGTTCTTTGCGAAAACAAAATCCAACGTTCTCTTATTTAATTCACGTCCATAATATAATAACATAACAAACATTCTTATTTCATCCATACCGGTAGATTTTTAGTACTGATTTAAGTTGTATGAGAATCTTATTACTATCCAATATAAGTTTTGGAAAAGGTCAAATGACCATTTATGCAACCTCTGATGCCTGATATGATATTGCAATAAAACATAAATGGCCATTACAAAAAACAAAGACAAAGAAATAAAGGCATGTAACAGAGTTTGTGTTTTTTATTGCAGGTCTTCTCGAGAGCAGCATGCGGCTGAAGCCCCACGAAGCTCAGAGCTACAGGAAGAAGGCCCTCTGGGTCTCCTGGGTCTCCATCGTGGTCACGCTCATAATGGCTGTGGCAGCTTTCAGTAAGCAATCTAAAATAATCCTTTATATGTTTTCAACAGTGCTTGTTAACTGTGTTTATGCTATCCAGACTGACTGTTGCAGTTTACCTCTCACTTCCCTATTTACTAAGAGGATATTTTGTCATATAAACGTCTATCTAGGTAGGGTGCAAATGTATAGTTTACGAAACCCCTCTCTTACAATGTTTTTCCCAAAATTTGATTTGGCGCCTTGTTTCTTTCTGTAAAACAAAGAACCAGTGTTGGTTTCTCAGTTATTTTTGATGAAGCAATTCAATGCATTTTTTGACACAACAAGATAACAGCAAAGACATTTCATGCCCAAAAAGTGGTGGAAAATCACAAGAGTTTCTCGGAAATGTGTTGTTTGCCTCTGGGTAGAAGCTTTTATAATCATATATGAGCAATAACATAATGCAGACTAACAGTAAACATTACAATAGGCTGCCTTCGGTTAGTCACAATTATGTAGTTTCAGCCCCTTTTTAATAATGTTTTTACATTACATTACATGTTACATGTTAGACGCTTTTATCCAAAGCGACTTACATACAGTACTCAACTCTCTGGGCAATCCCCACAGGAGCAATTTGAGGTGAAGTGTCTAGCCCAGGGACACAACGACATGCTGACTGCAGTGGGGTTTGAACCTTTGCTCCCCTGATCCGAACACCAATGCACTAATCCACTGCGCCACACACCTCCATATTTGATTGATGATCCCACACTTCCTGCTTTAAAAAACTTTAAGGATTCACCAAAAGGAAATATACATTTGTCAATATTCTATTAGAGTAATAAAATAAATCAGAAAAGCATTCTTCAAACATTTTCTTACATTTCTTTGACGCTTTAGTATGTGATTAACAAGCCTTTATTGTTCTTGGCAACCGACCCAACCTCAGATGTGTTTGACTTTTGACATGGTGAAGAAGTTCTGGTGGTTTTTCAAACGGCACATGATAAACAGTTACCCTTAGGATGTTGTGAAATGATGTTGAAACAATTTCCACACACAGTTTGTTGTCTTATGATGTGTAGAGGATGTCCAAGTTGTGCTGCATTGTGGTGAGTGCAACACGCAATGTTGCTTCGTCATCCTTGCTCGTAGTTTTTTTCAAGTCACCGTGTGTCCATTCAAACTTATCCTTGTGTTGATGAATAACTTTATTTTTTAAGCAAAGCAGCTGCATGGATTCACACTTGGAAATGAAGGCAGGGACTTATCCATAAAATATAATGTTGCAAACCATAAAGAAAAACAGATTTTAGTTAGCCCTAAATATATATGTAATATTCAGTTTAGTTTATCTATTTGGAAACACATGATTTAAAATGTAAGTATGAATGATATTTTTATTTAGAGCTGCTCTAATAAATCATGTCCACATTAATATATCATGCAACATGACTATTGTATGTTAAATGTTGGCACACAACCCCAGACAGTATAATAACTGAAAGTTCACGTTAGCTTAAGGGAATTTTATAGCATCTTTTAGCATGTTGTTTTGGCTTTGCTCCCCTCAACTTTACAGTTTTAGTTCACTGTAATTTATCTCATGGTTTTGTTATTTTGCACCTTCAAGCAAAAAATATCTTTAAAACATACTGTAGGCTATGCTACACACAAACCAACAACTGGATAAATGGTGAGCACCTAGCATTTAGCAGCTAGCAGCCATTTTTTCCTAGGTGTTAGTAAAGACAAAGAGCAAAGGTCGTAGTGAAAGTTTGACTGTTATTGGTCTCATTGACAGAAATTGACTATTAATAAATTATAATGTTCCTCTAAAACAGCTTATTTAGCGGTTAAGTTAGCCACTGTTAGCTTATGAGTTAGCCATATCAACTTATAAGGTGAACACAGTCCATTAAGTTCACAGACTGTAGGTATTAGTTCTGAAGTTAGGAAACTGTTATGAACACTGCCATGAATGAGTGGAGCATACAAGGGAAAGGAAAATACATTCCTGGTGATTCATATTGTTCTTCCTCTTTAAGTGAAAGCAGTGCAATGAGATATAGAAACAGACTCTTCATTAGAAAAATGAAGAATGTTTTTCTGAGTCTGTTAACATTTTTCAACAGAGACAAACTGTTGAAACATCAACATAAAAAGACTATAATCAACACAAATCTGATCCCAGCTTTAGGGAGGCAACATTTAAAAGTAGAAGAGCACAGAGGGAGGGTGGTGCAGGGAAGTCTAGACAACTCCGCCAGTCATAACTAGGGATGGGTATCGTCTGAAATGTATCGATTCAGATTCTGCTTATCGATTCCGGTTCTTATCGATTCCCCGTCTCGATTCCAAAATTGTAAAAGAAAGAGGTCAAACGTTCCGATAACAAACATATCTTTATTCTTATAAGCTTTAACTGACATTTTTACAAATAAAAAAAAGACATGCAATACAAATGTATTGCACAATAGCTGTGCTTTATTTTAACTAAGCTATGCCGGTGGCAAGCTATTAACTTGCCACAGGCATTACACTGTGCCTTGTCTTTTTCTTTTTTAGTGTAGTGGAGCCACACTTTAGAGCATTTACCGCGATCCATCTTTGGTGTTATGAAGTGACTGAGCTCGTGATCTGTCTACGGGAGGGCGGGGGGAGCCTCGCTGCAGGGAAACTGTTGACCTCTGTCGCCTGTCAGCGCAACTTACATGTTGCNGTTATACTAATCTGTCTATTGAACTGCTGTGAAGTGAGTTTGGCTACAATTCTTGTAATCGGTGCTATACAAATATAAAGCTTATTACTAATATTCATATTATATTATTGATATTATTGTAAATGACCTTTAATATTTCTAACT